GAGATACATAGCTTTAAAACATCTACTCAGTTAAAGTTGATGTATTTTCAGAATAACAAAGCTGGAATAGAAATTGATACCAATTTTATTTCAATTTAAGGTCACTGAAACTTTATTCTAAACTTAATTACATTTATTTATTTTATCTTTTTAAACAAAATTATGTTCAATAAAAAACATTAAAAATCATCCGTGAAAGCAAGCAAATGCTACTCACAAAAATCATTTAAATCTTCCCTTTTAAAAGAGTTAGAATCAAATAAATAAACAATCAAGAATCAATCAAATATATGTATATATATATAGTGGAGAATATTGAGATGAAAGTTTTTGATAATATTATGATCTATATTTTCAGTATTCTGAACTAAAAGAAAAAATTAATTCGATCAAAAAGTCATCCTCGAAAGCAAATTTGTCCCAATACTTGATCCTGGAGTTCCCTTGTCTTCTGGATTGGGTTCAAAATTTCAAGGCTACGGATACGGAGTTGAACATTAGTAGTCGTAAGCCCGAAAAAAAAACATTGTCGTAGGAGCCGAGGTGGCTAAAATGATAGAGCACTAGCCTCCCAATGAGGTCCCCTGGGTTCGAATCCCAGCGATGAATGGTCGATATGAATCCCTCACTCAGCGCTTGCATCAACCACAGTGCTGACATAAAATATAGTCAGTGGTAATAGTATCATGCGTTGGAATTCTCTCGCCATCAGGCTAACCGTGGATGGGTTTCGTGGCTCCACTCTTCATGCAACGCAAATGTTGATTTTGTTCCATCAAAAAGGCTTCCGAGAATGCTAGTGCTTCCCAATGCGTGATCTTGAAGTTCCCTCATATTCTGGGTGAGGTTTAAAATTACAAGGCTATTGAGTTGAACATAGTAAAATCGACTGTTCAATACGAGTTAAATATGATAAATTATTATTGTGGTGTAATTGCCGCCACCTTTGATGTTAAGATACAATGAACTCTAACAGTGGGAAGGAAATTGAATTTTGTGGATTAGAATAGAGGGAGCTGTGCTAACTTAAAAATTTGTACATTTTTTTGTCACATTTTTCAAATTTTTTAAAATTGTGTGACTAATTTAAATAATTTTGGTTACTTACTACATTTTCCTAATAATATGTTTTTCCTAAAAATTATTGCTTTTAAAAAAAAAGAGCTCAGTTAGACACCATAAATCTACTATGTGCAATTACAACAGTCCCTGGCCATATTATTAGACTCACTATGAAATTCTATGTAAAATCTTAATTATCAGGTGATACTCTATACAGCTTTACTGTTCTGACGCGATGAAACCGGTTTGCACTTGTTTACGTTCGTGTATCAATTGGTTAACATTGTAATGCAATACGTTAAAAATAAATACAAATGGGAAATATATAAAAAAATCTCCTAAATAAAAACCCATTACATGTATGTTTGAATATAAAAGTATTGCATGAAACTCGTGCAAAACATGTCATTATTAAAACACTACTGCGCGTTTAAAAAATTAATCAAATTTTTTAATAAATATACTAATATAATATTTGATATAATAAATAGTCTATATTTGTATAATATATCGTATAATCTATCCTATCGTCGAATTTATATTATATATTATGTCTAATTTAACCAATGGATACACGAATGTAAACAAGTGCAAACCGGTTTCATTCACATAAAAACAATAAAGCTGTATAGTATCATCTGATAATTAAGATTTTACAAAGAATCTTATAGTGCGTCTAATAATNTTTAATTTCGGAAATACCTTTAGATGCGACGAAGTTACATAACATTTAGACCACAATATTTAAAAAAAAAAATCATTTTTTAAAATAAAAAATTACCGAATTCTCGCCAATTTTAAAGAGATACATAGCGGTAAAACATCTACTCAGTTAAAGTTGATGGATTTTCAGAATAACAAAGCTGAAATAGAAATTGATATCGATTTTTTTCCAATTTAAGGTCACCTAAATTTTATTCTATAAATATAAACTAAATTACAATTATTTATTTTATCTTTTTAAACAAAATTATGTTCAATGAAAAACATTAAAAATCGTCCGTGAAAGCAAGCAAATGCTACTTAAAAAGCGGTGCTAACTTAAAAATTTGCAAATTTTTTTGTGTATTTTTCAAAATTTTTTAAAATTGTGTGACTATATAATTTTGGTCACTTACTACATTTTTCTAATCATATGTTTTTCCTAAAAATTATTGTTTTTAAAAAAAGAGCTCAGTTAGACACCATAAATCAATGCGCAATTACAACAGTCCCTGGCCATATTATTAGACTCACTCTAAGATTCTATGTAAAATCTTAATTATCAGGTGATTACTATACAGCTTTATTGTTTTTACGCGATTGAAACCGGTTTGCACTTGTTTACGTTAGTGTATCAATTGGTTAACATTGTAACGCTATACGTTAAAAAATAAATACAAATAAAAAGTAAATAAAAAATCTCCTGAATAAAAACCCATTACATGTATGTTTGAATATAAAAGTGTGCCTATAAACTCGTGCAAATCATGTGATTATTAAAAAACTACTGTGCGTTTAATAAATTAATCAAATTGTTATATTATACTAATATAATATTTGATATAATAAATACTCTATATTTGTATAATATATCGTATAATCTATCCTATCGTCGAATTTATATTATACATTATGTCTAATGTAACCAATTGATACACGAACGTAAACAAGTGCAAACCGGTTTCATTCACATAAAAACAGTAAAGCTGTATAGTATTATCTGATAATTAAGATTTTACATAGAATCTTATAGTGCTTCTAATAATATGGTCAGGTACTGTATAAATCTATGTTCCTTCTGCCTTGTTTATTTTGAACTGAAACTTTTCGGAAACAAACAGGTCTAGTTTTAAAAATAAAATTTATGAAATTTTTTAAAAACTCTTAGAAATTATAAATTTAGAAAAATCGTTCCAAATAGTGAAGTAAAGATGAATAGACCTATAGAATAATTTCTTCTACGTGAGTCAAAAGTTTTTTAGAGTCAGGTTTTTAAGTTTAATTCTATTATTAGAAGGAAAAAAAATTAGAGTGATATATTTATTTACCGGGAACTATACATAATAATTGCTACATATAATTTGAAATTCGAACAATTCGTCGATATCTTTAATTGCGTTGACCGAAGAACAAAAGCGTAATTATCTCGATTACTCTATAGAGCAGTGAGAAAACAACCCTGAACCTGAAAAACTACTTTTTTTTAGTAAAATTAAGACTGCCGACCCAACACCAAAACTTATTGTGAATTTAAATTGCTTTGCTTTTTGGTTTCTCATTTAAATTAATTTTTAAATTAGATCTTTCAACTTCTATTGTTAAATCCTTTGTTTTATAATATAATCTGTTCTGCGTGAAATGTATGGATTATTTTGAAGAAAAGTCTCTTTTATTTTAAAAAATTTTGTATTTTAAATTGATAAAAGTATTATTTTTTGTCATTTCTATTGTAATTATATCCATGATATACATTTTCATTTTTTTATTTATTAAAGCTGTATTTTAAAACTATAATCATTCTTGATAAAAAATAATAGAAAGACATTGCTAAAAAGAATTTTAAGTACTTTTTTATTTGAATAAATAACTATTATTCTCTTTTAGGCACTTAGAATGATTGCCCCTCCCCCAAGACAAAAAAAAAAGTGAAAAACTTTCTTGAAAAATCTTTAAAAATTTGTTGAATGTAATTGTGCCAAAAAAGAGAAGCAGAGGTATATGGATATCTGAGTCAAATTCCTTGTTTAGATAATCTTGTAGAAAAGTTACAATCGCTAGTATATAACTGGTAAAATATATGTAAGTAAAAATCCAAATGCATATTTTACTCTTTTTTTGAAGAAATAACTGTTCTTTTAAAAGAACGCTAAGTACGAACTGGCTAATGATTGTTGAAATTTATAATTATACTTATATCCAATTAATAATCTATCATCTATTTATTATTTCGCTTATTAGCAAAATGCAATTGAAAAAAGAAATAACAAAATAGTAACAATAACAGAGATAGTTTCTAAGAACGATGCATTGAGAAAAAAAATATTTTAAGAATAATAAGTTGCATTGGATTATTCGTTTAACTTTTCAATTTAAAATGAAATAAATAATTCAACAATATTTCCTTGATAATCTACGCTGGTGTAATAAATTAAGAGAATTTTCAGACTGGGTCGATTATCTCTAGAACTAGAAGACCGATTTTTAACGTAACTTGATCTGTACATACATTGATACAATACAAAACAAATTATGATTCAACAATTGTAATACACACGCATGATCGTGAGTAACACTCGTTGGAGTCGGAAGGTACGAAACAGCGGTTGCACAATAGGAGTATGGTCCCCTCTTACTGAGATACAAGTCTTGCAGCCGGATGTCATACTTGAAATAAGGCAGTTTATCATTTCCTGTGGCAATTTCATACCTTCAGACTCCAACGAGTGTTACGCACGATCATGCATGTGTATTACAATTGTTGAATCATAATTTGTTTTGTATTGTATCAATGTATGTACATATCAAGTTACGTTAAAAATCGGTCTAATATTTCTTGAGATAATCGACCACGTCTGCAAATTCTCTTAATTTATTACACCTGTATAGTTTCAACGCTCATGACAGTTTTTTTTCTTCCATATTTTTATTATTTTTTGTTTAAGTTTTTGTTTTAACAAAGACCCTAATTCAACTTATTTTATCCATTTTCGGTTCGCACATAAACCAAATCTAAAGCTAGACTAGAAACCTCTGCATACCTCCGAATTCAACTGTTTAACACAAAACCAAATTTTAAAACTACTGTTGATGAAAAGTTTCAATCTTAGGTTTAATAAACTCTCAAATGCGAATAAATGTAATGTTTGAAGTTCCGTCAAAAAAAAAGAAGCTTCATCATTTAGGTTATCATAGCCAAAGAGATTTGAGAATCCCGCCAGCTTAAATCATTTACTTACCGGATATTGCTGCCTCCTTGTTTCACTGCGTTCGATTTCGGCACCACCTAAAATTATTAATCCCGAAGTAGCATTCCTTTGAGATCCTTCAAAATTAATCACTCCTAGTGCACTGTCACATAAAGCACAAAGCACAGACCACGCCAAAATTGGCAGCATTATTTTCAGTTACGAAATTCTGCACTTCTTATAGTCGTCTGCTACAATCCACTATTTCTTTCAGTTCCAAAACAAACGCAAACGATCTTTAAAAATGGAATTTCGTACAGCCTCAATTTAACAAACCTTTTTAGTTCTTCAAACGATCTTTATCTTAGAGTCAACAATCCGCTTTTGCAGTAGGCCATCAATTGCTTTAATTACAAGAGCGCCAAGTAGTTTTCCGATAAGTTTTGTTCCATGGAGAGCACGATACGGATTCGAAATAAGTTTCAGAGAAGAAGAACCAGGAGGAGAGTCATTTGCGTGCCGCACTCGAACTTAAGAAAAAGTAATCAAACTGATAAGGAAAGCATTTAACAGAGGTTATAAAAGGTGCAGGAGTGCGTGACGATAAGAAAAAAAGAAGATGTGGGGCGATTTGAAAAGAGAAACGAGAATCAAGGTGAGCGTCTTGAAGAATTCTCTTTTTCGGTTTGGCAACACGTCATTTCCGGCCATCAGTGATGCGCGATGTTGGGAATTCTTTTACACACCATCCCAGAAAGTAAATTTGGAGACCGGCCCCGCCCTTTACTCATAGGCCACCTTCTCCAAACAACGATTTTTTTCTTCTAAATTCTGTAGAAACAAATACTTTTGCAAATGCACCCACTTTTGCTATAAAGCAAAGAACGATACTTAAAATAATTCACTTTTCTTGCTCCAACATGCTTTTTAAACAAACTTCAAGTAAACACTTTATTGTGAAATGTCTAACAACCTTGGATGATTTTTAATATTTTTCTATCTTTCATTGAAAAATGAAATATTACGCAGCCGGGATGGAGAGTGGTCGCCTTAAAAGAGGGGACTCAAGTTCGAATCCCAGAGATGACTGATAGATATTTATACTACCCCCTAATCTTAGATCAAATCAAAGTGCTGATATTAAATATTCCTAATAAACGGATTATTGGTAAAAGTCCTTTTACCTTTTATCTAACCATCGTAAGTTTTTTCGTGGTTTTCCTCCCCGTGTAACACAAATGCAGGATTTTGTGATAATGTTATGCGTGATTGAGCTAGAATTCATATAAAAGGTAAAAAAGAAATTATTTTACAGTTGCCGGATGGTCTTAAAATACTATTTAAATAAATGTAATTATTTAATCTAATTGTTTTAATTTATAAATCATAACATCCTTTAAGTAAGTACCAAATCCCTAAAGACAAGATTGTCACAATGCTTGATACAAGATTTCTAAATTTTTCTGGGTTGGTTTCAAAATTACAAGTCTACGAAGTTGAATATTAAAATTGTGCAAATCCCTAATGAATCCCTAATGAATAACCAAAAAAAAATTGAAATTATTTTTATCAAAGGCTCTGAGAACAGTTTCTAAGATTGCTAGTCATTTATAAATAGGTTTCACATTTAATAGCTATTTTAGAACAAATACTTCAAACGGACAGTTTACAGACTTGCATCTGACCCATTCTAGTTCGAATCTTAGCTATTTCAGCTGGGTTTGTATTTTTACACTGCTGTCAAACGTTAATAAAATATAGAGGTTGAATTTTAAGATTCAAGCGAGAAAAAACTCTATTGAAATCTGTTTGAAACACTGTTGAGGAAAGCGGATTGAAAAACATCAAAACCAGTTTGATTTCTAGTTGGAACGTAGAAATATTTCAAATAAATATCTTTCAATTACTTTTTTTTTCCTTTAGAAATAAAACAGATGTTTTTAGCTTCGCTTTCCTCACTAGTGAAGTAATTCATTACATTCCGATAATTTTTTTTTTCGAATTAAAAATTAAAAAGCTCTTTTGTGTACGTTTTTTTTATTTAGTTTTTAGCAAATATTTTAAATATGCACTCGAAGAATGGTCACTACAAAGCACTCTTAATATTTAACTCGATTTGATTAAGTAATTAACGGATCATGAGTTGCAGTTACATTCCGCCGGACTAACTGTGCGATTAATAGTGACCAACCTACCCCCGGAGAAGTTTTCGGATTGAACCGTTGTCACGTGAGAACCAATCACTACAAAATTACAGTAGCGTAAAATTAAAACTAAGATTGATACACATTGGAAAAATATCACAATATCGATGACGTGTAAATTTAAAACAATAAATCAGGTATTTTAAACCATGTGGGAAAGTAAAAAATACGTGGTGGATAAATAAACGCAAAATGTGCCCGTGCTAGAACATATAGTTCAGCATCTCCAGCGAGTTTTATAAAATTTAAAATCAATCATAATAATTCCAAAAGAGATTTATAGTTAAAGCCAATATAAAATTTCGGAGCCAGGCATCAAAGTGTATGGCTATCACAAAAGCGGTCACCAATGACCGAAAGTTCTCCGTGGAAGGGAAAGACACCGGAACAGCAACCAGTCCGAGTGTCCGGCTTAAGAAAAAAAGATCAAAGGGATCTTGATGAGAACCAGAATTCTTAAAAACAAGTCAAAAGCACTTAAAACATCTGGAAGAGTAAAATTAACCAAAAATAAAAGTGTCAAAAATACAGTAAAAAAAGGTATAAAAAGTAACATCAGGTAAAACACCATCGTCTTACAGTCGGACTAACTGTAAAACGATTTCGTTGAATAACGTAATCTCAGTGATCCGAAGTAACGCAATACCAGTAGTGAAACTACTGTAGTCACTACGTTTTTTCGTAGTGTGTAGTGTAGCGTGCTACTTTTTTAAAAAAGTAGTGCTGTACAAAAAAGCAGTAGTTTGTAGCGATTCCTGGCAACTACTTTTAACGCTAGTTTAGTAAGAAAACACTGCTCCAAAGCAACTTCGAATTTGATGTGTACAAATCTTAGCAGGTTCGTCAGTGGATGCAATAAAAATGATACTTTGGCTGCAGTTGTACTAATATTTAAACGAGTCATAATCGATACATATCGATATTATTATAGTAGATACTAGTATAAAGTCTAAAAACGTAAAAAAATAATTGGCTAGCAAAAGCATGAATAAAATAAACTAAACACATTAAGACATAATAATAAAAAGAAGCAGACGATAAAATTAGAACAACAGAAAGTTGTTGATATTTTGGAGAGTAGTTTTGGATCCCGTTACGGATCTTTCTATGTTTTTTTTGTAAGTTTATTATTAACTCGATACGAATAATTTAATGTCGTTACTATATTTGTTGTGGTGTTAAATAAATGTGTTTTTAATAAAACAAAGAACTGTTTTAATATAGCTTGATACGTTACACTAGTCATAATCGATGCAAAAATCAATATTTAATCACTTCAGTCAGACTTTCACATGCTAATGCACACTCTTGAAACATTGATGTTACTTAAAGGGAAGGGAACGTGTTTCCAATGTGCTTAATTTCTTAGAGAAATTAAAAGAGCAATAAGCAATTAAACAATAAAAAAATTGCAAATGTTTGACGATTTCGCAATTCTTAAATTAAATATTCGCTGTCAAAACAGGCATAAAATGTTGAATGTTAAAAGAACAAATTTCTTTATTTTATAACCGTTGTTAAACAGCCGACTAAATTTTGGCTTACGACTACTAATGTTCAACTAAGTAGCCTTTTAATTTTAAACACAATCCAGAAGACAACGGAACTTCTGGATGAAGTATTGGGAGAAATTTTGTCTTCGTGGAGGACTTTTTGATGGAACTAATCCGCATTTGCGTTACATGGAGAGGAAGACCACGAGGACGTTCCACGGTTAGAAAAGGGAACTCTAACCCATGATTCGTCTACCACTAAGGATATTTCACGTCAGCATTGTGGTCGGTGCAAGCCGGATGCGGAGCTCGTATCGACTAGCATCGATTTGATTCCTTTGATTGGAAAGCACCCTCAACCATCGCTGGTCAAAATGGACAAATTTAAAAAAAAAAAAATTTTTGGGATAACAAACAGCCTCATGTAAACATGAATAAATATTTATAAATAACAAAGTTCCATCAAAGTTTGGTTCTTTTAAGTAATGAAGTAGTCACTACATTTCGAAAGTAGTTTGTAGTCATTACATTAAAAAAAATAATGTAGTTACAGTTAACTACACTTGTAGCAAAGTAGTTTTAGTAAACTACAAAAAAAATTAGTTTTTCCGACCACTGTAAGTTTCATTCTATATTTTACAACAGCTTAATATATACTGATACTAGATTCTTAATTCCGTTGTTTTTTGAGTTGAGTTCGGAATCACAATATTATTAAATTTTCCATTAAAAGCCATACATAGGGTAAATATAACTTCTGAGAAGCGTTAGCGATAAAATTTAAAGTAAATGACATTTATAAAATATAAAGTAAATGTATGTTGTAGTATGTATGTAAATGTATGTTTTAGTATGTTGTAGTTCATTTACGTCGCACTAGAGCTGCACAATTGGTTATTTGCGCCGTGGTCTGGGAAACATCCCTGAGGATGATTCGAAGACATGCCATCACAATTTTGATCCCCCGCTTCAATAACTCGACGACCTGCACGCGAAGTTGAGCACTTAACGGTAGCACAGTTTATCGAGGACTAATACCGCACAACCTCGGTCCCTAAGAAGACTGATTCAAACGGTCACCCATCCGCACACTGACCGCAGCCAGTGATCCTTGACTTCGGTGATCTGCTGAGAACCGTGTCTTAACGATTAGTCCACTGCGGGACAAATGACAATTATAAAATATAAAGTAAATGAAAATTATAAAATATTAAGTAAATGACAATTATTAAATATAAAGTAAATGAAAATATGAAATATTAAGTAAATGACAATTATTAAATATAAAGTAAATGACAATTATAAACTTTAAATAAAGATTAATAATTTGGCACAGCCCAATGCATTGCATTTTTTAAACTGATATATGTCACTGCATATTTAAAAAAAAATTTTTTTTTTCAAGTGTGAGTTTGTTTCAAAGTTTTAATTTAAAACAATTTAGAAACATTTGATTTTAAGATTATATTCAAATGATTCATACAAATTTCGTTTCATAAAAGCTTCGATTTCACTCTATTGTTAAAAAAAAAATAGCAAGGAAGGAAAATAAAAGAATATTAGAGCATTAAAAAAAAGGCATTTCAAATTATTTTGTTTCGAGAAGTGCAATGCTCTGTATGGTATCCTAAAAATGAACACATTCTATTCAGAAAAAAATATGCCACATCGAAGTTGAATTCTCAAATGTAATTCTTTTTGCTCATTTATTCAAGAATTATTTTAAACTTACTGAAAAAAAAAATTTCTTGAAAGAAAAAACCGCATTTTAATTTGAAATATTGTTCTGATATTTTAATAAATGTAATTAGATAAGGTTATTTTATTTTATACTATATTTTATTTTATAACCGTTCAATATATGCTTGTTATGTTAGTTCGAGAATCTCAAGTTCATTAGTGGGAATAAAATAAAATAAAAAATATTTTCGAAAAATTTATTGAATTAAAATACAAATCCTAA